AAGTAATTTGCTTTAAACTTGCATGGTATAATTATAAACTTAGCTTATATGAATCATGCATGAGCTCGTATATTTATAACATTATTATAAATACATGAACACGTATGCTTTGAACCCTTTGCTTATCTATCATCTATCAAGTTGAATTATGTTGATTTAGACAAAACTTCTGTACCATAGTTAGCCGCTGTTTTTTGACGAGACCAATTTGCCGTTAATTGTTCACTTTACAAATATTCAGGAATTTAAGTTGTTTATTTTCCCCCGATTTTCCACGAAATGACTTGAACCAGTGTAACAGGTGATATTAATATGTTAATTAACCAAATATCGTGATCGATTTTATTGGCTTGTACATGTATATTTTGGTAATGATTTAGCACTTAATAACCCCGGGTACAAAATGTTATATTCATTAACCGAAAGAGAGTATATCCAATCCACGGCCCCCTGTATCTACCCCCTGTCTGCGAGTCTGACAAATTGGACCTTTTGATTCGCAATAAATCTGTAAAATTTTATTGCCGTGGTGATTCAACTGGTTTGCTAAGCCTTAATGATTAGGCCAAGCATTTTAGCGATAGAGGAACGTTTTTTTTTATTTCTTGCCGGTTTGAGTAATCATGGGGCCGGTTCGACAAGGGTCCGATTTGACTTGGGGCCAATTGGCTATATGTTACAACCGGAACACTTTCGGCTTTTATCTCGAAGACTGGCGGAAAAGGCCGAAAAGTTGCAATTGAGCCCAATTCCAACTTTTCGGCCATTGCCGTCAGTCTTCGGATAAGGTTATTAAAGATAATAGCCGAGGGCGTTCCGATTGGATTGAGCCTTTCACTGTTGTGACATCTCGGCTTATACCGATAATATACCAAAGACTGACAAAAACGGCCGAAAAGCTGCGATTGGTGCGGCAGTGTGTGAAACTATACAAGAGTTTGACCGCGGCTTAAAGCAGCACGCCTCCAGATTCATGCTCATTCTCGTGAAAATTTTGAAAATGTTTTTAAAACGTAAAATATTGTGTAGTGAACAATGAAAGTAATTTTCACGTTGCAAACGGACACTTACAACCTACGTAAGTTACCAAAAAGAGGTCAACATATGCAATGTCAGTCATTTACCGCACAAAACATGTAAATTATTACTTGAAACATTTTTTTTTAATTTTGATCTTAAAATCCTAATTTTAATTTCTCAAGTTTGATTTTTGCCTCAACTGGAGACATGCATCTTTAAAGTCTTTAAAGTCTGATTTTATGTAGAGGGTAAAAGGCGATCTATATATTCTATATACAATTTTATTATTATCCTCTGCAATCGGCACTTTCCTTCAGCCTTTTGTTAAAAGGACATTTCCTAGATGTTCCAATTGTATCATCTAAGGACCGCGTGCCCGCGTTTTTTCAGGTATTTTGGTTGACTTACAGTAAGAGTGAATAATTCTAGTAACACAAAAGAGGCCATTGTTAATGGATTGTAAATTGGACATTCTATCGCTGTATAGCAAAAATAACATTTCAGAGTGAAATGTAGATATAAAAAAGAGAGAAAAATATCAATCATTTTTCAAGTAATCGTGTTTTCAGGTTGAGTATGGTGGCTGTTTTGAGCCATGACGGAGTTTCGCTTTTTCGCCACGCCAATGCAAAAGCGCGAAAATACGACAAACATTGTGAACGTGACTTGAAACCTAACCAAAATAAAATGAATGCATAAAAATTAAGGATCTAATTTTTCGTATGATACAAATGAATAAACTTTTTATGGCTCTACATTAATAATGTAAGATGCAAATTTAATTAAGCGCGCACTTTTCGAAACGCAAATAAATAACCCGGGGAAGTAAATTTCAAGTTAAAATTATTTGCATTGGCAGTATTCAATTTATATTGATTTTTAATCTTATGCTAATATATCATTAAAAAAATCAGTAAAACTATATATATTATTTGAAAAAATAAGTATATAAACAATTTTTAACCCTCAGCAACAGATTCTACCCATGAGACCAGTGTAGACCAAGATAAGCACACACATCTGTGCCATCATTCGGAACTGCCTCGGCTATTATCTATAATAATCTTATCCTTATCCGAAGACTGACGGAAAGGGCCGAGTAGTTGCGATTGCTGTGCCATCTGATACTATTCGGCACTGTTCTGTCTTCAGTCAGTAAAATTATAATTTTAAGAAAATTTCCCTACAAAATATGAATGGTTTGCCCAGGCTGAAAGATAGACAAGTCTATTTTACATTTAAAGCGAGATAAGGGTGTGTGTTTGGGTTTTATTTAGATAGCCTGTAATTTTTACCGTTCGAATATGTCGAGTCATGTTTAACTTGTAATCGTGAGTGCTTCTGAATATGATATTGTTTAAGTGTAATAAATTAGATATCATAACTCTTAAGTAAAATAAAAATTGGTACTTAAAGATCAATGTGCTAAAAGCTTTGAAGTGACATTTTTGGCTAAGGTAGCTTAATTTCGATTGCCTTGCATTTCAACGCTGTGGGTTCGAGCCTCGCCAGGTGCTCTGGATGCTCTTAAGTAAAATAGAGAATCGTATTAAAATCGCAGATCAAATGTGCTGAAAGATTTGAAGTGACATTCGTGGCTAAGATAGCTTAATTTCGCTTACCTTGCCCTTCAACGTTGTGGGTTCCAACCTCGCCAGGTTGGTTGCCAGGTCTGCGCAGGTGCTTTCCTGTGTCCGTAATAATGTCCGAAGGGACCTCAGCCAATTTATAAACAAAACAGAAAATAAATAAATGGAAACCTTTTGTACAATAATAGAACCTCTATTTCGAAGCAAAAATACAAACAAAATGTACAAAAATAATTGTAAGGAATACAGAAAATGCAAAATGATACACGCCCAAAGCGTTATAATTTGTTTTCTGATGGTTTACAGATAAACATTTCACTCTCCAACTTTTCTAACTTTTTTTTGAAGTTTTGTTTTCACACCATGTGCGTGTTACGTAGATTTTTCACGTGAGAGGGAAACAAGATTCTGTTGTTTTTATTTCAATCTTTACTCATTCTTCAATATATTTTTTTCTTATTTAATCAAGTCACTTAAACAAAAAGCGTGAATTTAAGCTCAGAAATTGTTTCACAGAATTTCCCGACGCCACCTGTTTGAATACATATACATTTTGAGTAAGATATAATAAAATTATGTTATTTTAAAATGGTCAGCCCTATTTCCTAGTAGATGAATTTTTCATTTTCAGGTTAGCTTTCTTCATGTTCTTGGAGTAGCAAACCAGAGTAATCACAAGTACTAAATTATATTGCTCTAGGTTGATGTTTATATATATTTTAAAACACACTTCTTCGGTAGAAACATATTAATCATTTATACACATATCGGAAGAAATTACTAGATATCTGAATTCTTAATTGTTTACTATGACAATGGCACGATTATTAAAGTAAACAGAACATTAAAACAGAATCGGCGTGTATTTTCATAGAAATAAATATGCACGTAGTAAGTAACATAATTATGCAAACAAGCCAAATGAATTGAATAAACAAACTATATTAAAATAAACGAACTATATCACATCAGATATAAATGATACCCAATATTTTATGAACATTTCATGTCGATTTATTTTAATCACTTACATACAGTACATGAAAATACGGATGAAAAAAAAACGCGTAATTAAAAAAGAATGCGGCGTCATTAAAAGGTCCAATATGCCCCAGAAATGATATGATTTTTTTTTCTCCAAAAGTTATATATATTTGGTATCTTGTTAAAGTTTTACAAAGATATACTCATTTTCCATTTACATGATCCTTCTTTTGCTGATTTTGTTATGTTGACAATTTGTATAATCATATAGCGAATTAAAGAATTAGTATTTTGTATAGAAGTCAAAATTAAGAAAGTTAAAAATATTAATGAGACATTATTTAACACGTGTTTGACATTTCAAAAGAATTAAGAAATACTGAATATCTGAGGCATGATGTGCCTTTAAGAGCTTCCTTCTAATCTTTAATATGTATCAATGAAAGTCGAGTGTAAGAAAAGAAAAAGGAAAAAGCGCCATATGCTTCTTAGACATTTTTGCGGATATAAAAGGTATCTTATCAGTTAAATATTTGTTCGTGTCACAATTTATCATTCGGCGATTACGTTCAACTTCTAACAAAGGAGACGTGTAAACACGACGTATCGATTATCTGTCTGGGTGATATATAGAACATACACACCAAAACTAATCCGATTAATTATCGATTATTGATTAATAGGATTAAGATTTTAAGGGAGATATTTCGAGTTCGATTACGGGTTACGCCAACTCTTTCAAATGACACATTGAAAATGGAGGTCCAAGTTTCAAGTTTTATTTTCAACTAGGCCCATATGGGCATCAGTGTTATAAACAGCAACTTTCACAAACAAATGAGCATTAGCAACAAAATAATACAAATGTGTAAAAAAAGCTTGTAGACAAACTAATTTTCATTTTAAATACAAAAAATAAGACTAGAGACACTTTTGTATGACTTATAGAGATGAGAGACTAGAAAGAGGTAAAATACTAGTAACATAATGCAACCGCACCATGGAAATCCTGACCGAAAGACGAGGTGCCATGGCGTTTCCACAACATGGGGCCTATGAAACCCCATATATTTACCACACCGTGCCCGTACCATGTAGTTCCACTGACATTTAATAGGAGGCGTCATAATGCGATTACAAATGTCATAACACCTTAAAGATGAAAAAATAATTAAATTAAATACATCCAGTCATATTTCATTTTGCAATCAGAACTCGAATATTATCTGAAGTTTGACGGAAAGGGCCCAAAAGTTGCGATAGTTCACTTTAATGTGTTGTGATTTTTGTATCCGTTACACCTTTATTGACTGCCTTCCGGCGAAAGTTACCGACGTGATTACCGACCAATGTTACAAGAAAGTTATAATTCACTTTTATAACGCGTGCTTGTTTCTTTAATTTCAGATGAAGATTATTTTGCTGAAGGTAGAGAATGTGTCAACTGCGGGGCTATATCCACGCCGATGTGGCGCCGTGACGGTACCGGACACTACCTGTGTAATGCTTGCGGTTTACATCATAAATTGAATGGTCTCAATCGGTACCAGGGTAAAAACTCTCCATCAGGGGAGGTACGATATAATTATATTTATTTATTCATTACTTCCTGTCATTTTATAGAGGGAAAATAAATCAAACTTAAAACGGGGTCCATTTAGTTTATACTTATTTATTTTAGTTCGATTATGTTGGAAGCTATTAGCTTATTAAACACTTTCGAATCCGTTCCTGGAACCAACTAGTACTAAGCAATGAGTGTAAAGTTTCTTGCTCACGGAAACAACGGCTTACCCCTGACTGGGTTTGAACCAACGCGGCCAGCAATCCTGAGATTACTAGTCCGACGGGTTAACCACTTGTCCACCCGCCACCGAGGTCCATTTGATTTGTATATATGTTAAAGAACAAATACAAGGGCACGCCCCTTTTGAATCTATGAACATTCCTTTACCTACAACAAGGTGTAATGTAAAATTATTTTCTTTCATTTTAAATCTAAATATTATATAGCTTGATCATTTTAAACTTAGGTCAAAAAGACCGCAGCAAACATGAAACATGCTGAACGAAAGCACTTTACTATTGGATCTGCGGGGTTCGAATCCATATTGGTGCCTGTTTAGTGCTTTATGTTTGGATTTTTTGCTATTTCACGTGAATATCGGTGTGGTTTCTACTCAATGTTCATTTATGACTGAAATGATTATATTGATCAATGGGTCTCTTCTTTTTTCCCCCCGTAATACACATGTAATGTCCGTGACCTTTACTTATTCTTATTAATATGATAAAGTGTTAATCAGTCGGTAACACACGTTTGCAATTTTGATGGGATCTGTTACTTTGTTTCAGGACGAGCCGCCAGAAGATAAAATTAGAAAGTATGACCAAAAATATGATAAAGTAAGTTTTTTTTTATTAACCTTTATGGAAAGTCACATATGACAAATTTGACTGTATTTTAATGAATCAGAATAGTTGAAGTTAGTTCGGTAATGTCCATTTGATCTAAATTAAAATGAGGATAAAAGCTGACCTGTCAACGATTATCGTATAGTTTAAATATATGTGTAAAAGTAATTTAAGAATTTAATAATTCAGATCATTTTTTAGAACGTCACAGAATTACAGGAACTTCATTTTACAACAACCTAAATTACTCGGGACTGTTCATAAACCTTAGCAACGCTTGGCAATTCCCTTTGCAATATGTTAAACTGTGCAATTTTTCTTTATACTTAACCATCCAAAAAATGTCATTTGAATTAACGCCCGAATATTTCTCCACTCAAAAAACTGAAAATTTCAGAATATGCTGTAACCTAAGAATGAAAAAATTTCCTATTTTGAAAGACGTTTTTAACCCCAATTTTAAAAAAAACATATTTAATCAATCGTTTCATCTGGGCCTTTTCCCGTCAAACTTGGGATATATTGAAACAGCAATTTCCAAATTTATTTTATTTTTAACAATCAAAATTTAATTTAATTTAATTAACCAAGGATAATTTCATTATTCAGAACGAAAGAAAAAAAACTCGCAGGGGTTTCAGTTGCAAACTCAGTACAAACAAAAAACTTATGCCCCAAACGGAAAAGGGGGAACCCAGGGTAATGCGTGTTCATACTTCAAATTCACGGGTTAATTTCAAAAAACTTTCCCATATTTTGGCTAAATCTATCAGTAGTTTCTCATAATGTACAAACAAGAGACGTTTTTTTTCATGCAAATTTATTAGCTAGTCTAACGTCGGGGTTCTTCTAAATTTTGCTCACGGCCAAAAATAAGCTGGATGAGGCCCCGGGGGGGTCTTATCCACAAAAAAAACCCCCCAATCAGACAATCATTACATGTCATGGACAAATATTTGGGAACATAATGTTGTTTAAACCCTTTAGCCCTTTTTTTCAAACATTCAGTTTTTAAAAATTGTAGTCGCTCCTTTGAGCCGCCAACTTCCCCTGCTTTACATGTTTGCCCTTTTGCCATCGGATAATTTAAGAAAGGGGACAAATATTTCCTTCTTTGCAGTAAACTCCCTCATAAACATTTTTTTAAACATTTAAATAATAAAAAATTTTTTTTAAAAAACACATGTAATTTTGTTTTAAACTGATAAAATACAAATTTTTTCATCAAACATCACATGATCATTTCGTGATCGCATGGCACGGATATTTTTGCATCGGTGCTCTGAGGTTATAGGCTTGCCCTTAAAAAACTAGTTTTGTAAAAAAAATATTTCTTCAGTTCAATATTTTAAAAAAAAGGAAAAGGAAGGTCAAGGCTAAATTATATCTACGAGTTTTGTTATCACGGACTTTGTGTTATCAACACAAAAAGACGAATTAAGTCCAATTATTATTTCATATGTTTTTAGGTTAACAGACCAATGTCAATGAAGAAGGATGGAATACAAACCCGGAAACGGAAACCACGAACTTCCAACAGCAAAAAGTCCTCTTCAAAAGAATCCGCACATACGTCACACAGTTTGAACACTACGCATTCGCAGTCAGGACTTCTAGACCTTAGTCAGCGAGCAGATAACACTCTCAACACGTCCAGTAAGTGCACTACATGAATGGTCAATGCAGAAATATAAAAAAACAAGTTAATTAAAAAGTTAACCGTGAAGAAAAAATGTTTAGACTTTAAGAATTACAGACTCTCTTGGGAATTAATAGCAATCAGCTTTTCATCATTCTTTTGTAGGAAGTATGAAACATGTATTATATAAACATAATAATGCCCGTAAATCAGTCTTCCTTTTTGCACAGAATTAAAAATGACACTCTGTCAAAACAATTAAATTGAGTGCCCATATATGGGGCATCTAATCATTCTTAAATTAAAACAACAGTAAATAAAAAGTATCTTTACGAAAAGTTACAGTAAATATTGAACAAATTAACAAGTGATCATTTAATTAAATAAACAACTTTTCGGAACATTATGTTACGTTAATATTGAGAAAATTGAAACTTTTTTTCAAGATGTTTATGCCATATATTGATAGGAATTTCGTTAACATTTATTTTCATGTTTTCAGTGCCTGATGTAAAACCACCAGTGGCATCTTACAACAGCATGTACCACCAAACTCACAACTCAGCCGTTCCCTTTCCCCTTTAAAACCCACCCCCTCCTTATCCGGGCAGTGCCTTTGCTCACAGTTTAAACGCACCTTTAAATAAGTATAAGACCGAGCCAAGACATTTTTACAAAAACCAATGACCAGTGATACGTGAAAAGTCAACCAGTTCTAAAAAAAAACCCCTAACCTTCAAGCCCTTATAACTTTTTAAACGGTAAAAAACAGACCAAGGGTATGGACACCCGCAAACTAACCGTATTTAAAATGGAAAATGCCCAAAGACAATAAACATGACCCTCTATTTTTCAAAAAAACCAACAGCAAAATTAATAAATCATCGCAGATTTATTGAACCATCACCACAAACATTCCCCCTTACAGTTGAAATGGGTTCCCCCGGGAAAAGCGAAAATTCACCTGGGCCGGAGACCAATTCTGATATAATCCAGTTAAAGCCAGTTACACAAACCTAAGACAGGATGTCAACAAATATTCAGATGTGAAAATTTTGAAGACTGAAAGTTTGTTCAGGAGTGAATGGGAATGTACATGTATATATGAAGTTGTTGTTCGTGTGATAAAATGACTATATGTTATTTGCATAATGATTTTTTGAATTTTAGCATTGTAAATATTCAATATGGTGAAATTGTTTATGTATTTTTTTTTCAGTATGAGTGACCTTAAACAGTATATATGTTATAAATGAATCGCAAACACGGTCACTCTGTCACTGTTTAAAGTGAATTGGTCTAGACTCTATTATACACATAGCAGATTTGTAATACCATAAACATTAGGTTGATAGTACAGTATTCAGTATCGTATGTGAAAAGCAAACCACAATGGATGTTGTTGGTAAATGTTATATACATGATCCGATAGGATATACAATTATATAGCAGATAATAATGTGTTCTAGAACAAAATATTATTATTCATAATATATTTGATCAAACAAAATCACTAGAACTCTTATTTACATTCTGTTTCCAAGAAATATTTCATAAGAATATCCAAATGGTATATTTCAATTGTTTTTATCACTATTTTGAAAAATATACTCATTGCAGACCAATCCACTTTAAAGCTACATTTTCACGAAGTGAGCAAGGGTTTTCTTAATTTTATTCTCATTTGTGAAATAGCGATTTATGCTAAATTTAAATCTTTGAGTATAATTTTTTATTTGCTTGGAAACAGCAAAAGTTTTGTTTGATTTTCTTTTTTTAAAGAGAGTAAGTTTGTTGACTGATGGGATATTACACATTTCTTTCTATTCTTAACTCAGAATCGTGATAATGTAGCTTGAAAACTTTGTAACATTTCTAGATTATTTTTCATTTCTTTATGCATTTTCCTTTCATTCCCTTTTGTCCAAACTTAAATGAGTTTGGAATTTCTCGATATGCCAGACTTTACAGAAACTATTTCCTTAAAAGCTTCCGTAAAACTGTTACTTAATGTACCTCAACACATTAATACTTGCCTTCTTTTTTTGCTCTAAATAATGGTAAATGATTTTTTACATAAAAATGGTAAATGTTTTTTGACATAAGCGGATCCATGAGGTGGGAGATAGATACTCAACACACCCGAGATTTTTCCTATTATGTCATAAAATATAACATCAAGGTCTAGTAATTAACATGTTTTTGCGAAGTCAAGCAAAAATTTGACTTATGATCCTCTCTTAAGAAATACAACTAATTAGCGATGTTTTGTTGGAGCTCTTTATTTTATTTGTTCAGTTAAGAAAATAAAACGTTGCTCTCCAGTGAGGCTTTTTCAGTAAGTGGTGTTCTTTCAGAGATGCTTTCGATAAGCACACTGTATGTTTAGACTACAATGAAATTAAATGCAGTCATGAATTGTGGTGGTAACCAAGGGATTATTGGGTATTTATAACTAAGATATCATGTGACGTCATTTCTACGGAAGGACCGGAAGTGCCCAACAAAAAGGATCCATGTGGAACCGCTCATGGTTAAATGGAATTTTGATATTTTCTGTCTGGCATAATTAAAGGTATATGTGACGTCACTGCAACCTGAAAATTATGTGGCATCGCAGTAACTAAGGGTTTCCGAAACCGTTACTAAAAAACCATGTAACATGATTGTAACTAAGTGACCATGTGATGTTAACGTAACTGTATATATGTCATTTTCATGAATGTACAATTTTTGTTGTTGTTTTTTCTATTGATAATGTATCTGGTAAAACGAGAACTACATCGCAGCATTTTCTGTAATAAAATATTGTACTTAACAACAAACCTTACTTGTTTTCTTTGATTGCATTTATCCTTGACAAATACAAATTCAACGACGAGACGACAAAAAAGAGATCGCCCGCCAAAAATTATCTCCATGTCTCTGACAAGTCTCATAAGTGTTAGTTCTGGCTTCCATAACTTTATATGTCGCTTTTATTTTGACGTTGCGACAGTAAAACAGGTCTATAAGCAATACTATAAAACCTGTTCGCTGAAGTATCTTTAGCTAATAAGTGTCCAATAGTTAAACGCTTAACACTGTTATTAGGGGCACTGTGCACAGCGTGGTGGTGAGTTTCCGTGTTAATTGCAAACGGATATAAATGTACGAAACAAAATAAAGAGTGATCTTCCTTTTTATTTAAATGGCGCCAGATCATCAAAGGGGAGTAACTCAACAAAATTAACATTCCCTAAAAATTACAAACGGCAACAGTTCTTCAAAGGAAAGTTACTTTTGACAGAGATGTAAATAACAATATACAATAATTATCTATGTCTCTGCTTTTGAGAACAAAATTAAGTCTGCAAGAGTAAGCGTCATGGGTTCAAAGGTCCTCCAGCTAGGTCGCAACTTTTCGTCTAACCTAATTAAGTGCTGGAATTAATTGTTGACCCCGATAAGTCAATTATATTGTGTGAAAGTCGACTGTATAATCATATAAAAGTAAACATTATTCATAAACTAACTAGTCATGATTTAAGAAAACAAAGGTACCAAATGTAAACACTTGTTCAGATAATTTTGGATTTTGTTACATTTTATTGACAAATGTTATTTTTCAATCATAATATTACTTAAATATACTATTTTTTGGCAGAATAACAAATTTGATAATTAAAACTATTTTTGTCTACATCAAATGCGAAAATTAACGGAAAAGGCCGAAAATTTACGATTGCAACCCTGGAAGCGCACACGGCATTGCCTTCGGTCCAGATGCTGCAGTAATGACAGAAATGTAAACGAATGTGTGTTATAGGTTTATTTATACTCGGTGCCGGAATGTCCGAGATTTATCACCGTCCATTCTGGTCCACTGCTGTCATCGGGGACGTCTTTTCTTGCTGAGTCTTCCATAGCCTATTCTTCGTTCGGTGGTGGTTGATGGAGGAACGACAACACTGCCAAGGCATCACTTTTATGACGACAACATAACAAAAACGGCTGTTGCTAGTGCCACCCTTCCAACTAAATTAGTCACGACAGGTCAGCCAATCGTCTCTGGTACTTGAGGTGACTTGACCTACCGTGCGCCTTCTCCTCGACGTGCACGCCTAGGGTGTGATCTGGTGATGAGAAATCTAAACTTAACTAACATGTAGGTTATATGCTCGGTTGGTAAAGAACTATTTCATTGCTAGAGAGTTGTTGTCTAATGAATGGTGATTTTTACTCGTTTCTCTATGTTTTGAGCGGGTTAAATAGGGCGGTTTCGGAAAAATCTGTGAAATTTACATTAGAGATATTCTTGTTCATTGTGTTCAATCGAATCTTACCAGAGAAAATTTTACGAGATGTCCTGGCATAGCAAAAGAAATACATGTATTTGAGAGAGTGAAAACAGGTCCTGTATATTTTACTCGAACACTAATTAAGCTTCTTAAGTTCACAAAGTCCTAATTCTCAAGACCTTAACAAATTTAATTAGGATTTTGAAACCCTTCTTTACGACTCACAAAGCCTTTAATTTGATTTACCTACTCCTAATTCCATTTCTTTCTTTTTTTTTTTGCACCTAGCTAGGCAATTAAAACTGCTAATTAATAATTACATTGTCGTAATTAGGAGTATTTCTCCGAATCAGGAGTTAATTAAAATTTCTAATTACAAATTGTAATTGTAACTCCTGTTAAGAAGTAACAAGTACCTAATGAAGTTTTTATTACACCTAATTAAATATGACAAGGTCCCTATCTAATTCCTTGGTAAAAGTTACAAGGCAAAAAAGGGCTTTTTTTCCAAAGACGTAACAAAACAATTCTGAAAGATTTTCGACCGTGCGACCACATACACGCATCGAGGCCATTATAGGTAGAAAGTGACCGTGCGACCACATACACGCATCACAAGATTCCCCTTCTCATACGAGAAAGGGACAAAGTGCTGTCCGCCCCTTTAGAAAAAGGGGCAGACGAAATATGTCCGCCCTTTAAAAAAGGGGCAGACTAAAAATATGCCATTTTCTTATTATTATAATAAGTAGGCTATTTTTCGAATTTATATCTTGAATTGGTTTATATACAACTATAGTAATGCAAACCAACTGGGTTATCAGTGTTCGTCCTTTTAAGTTCTCAAAGAAATTTTAAAAAGATCATATTGTATTTATTGAAAAATCTTAAGTTTGCAGCTTTTTTACTTTTTCCATTTCTTTGTATAACAGAAAAACAGTATTTCTGCAAAACATGAACGTTGCAAAAACGTTTTATATATGCATTTAATGTGGAAGACATATTTCACACTTTGTTGGCAAATATTAACCTGGGGGCATTTTTTTATTTGTCATATTATGCATTTAATTTTTAAATGACTTTGTATACTCGACTTATCTTACTATGTGATGGGCTGCGGGGAAAATAGATTATTTAAAACTTGAGCAGCCGACAGTGCTGACTGATCCTTGCAGACTCTTAAAGCTTCTTTTCTTAGACCTGTCCATTATCAGAACAGAATAGAACAGAACAGATTTTATTTTATAACTTGTACACACATAGGTACATTGTTATAACAGACATGTTGAACTATCATTTTAGATC